CAGAAATAAATAGGGCTATTTGAAGCTAAAGTGATACTCAGTGACAAGTCACGTGATGGAATCTGCACTTAAATCTTTCTAAGTCTCACACCATTATATATGATGTTATCTCCTATTCAGGGTGTTAATCAGCATTGAGTTTCTGCAGTCATATTAAAATACATTCAAACAAATCAGTAGCACTGTTACAAATTAGAATAAAAAAAATTCGAGGTTCTAAACTCTGTGTGTTTATTCCACCCTGACTGTGTGACAATTACTGGATAAGTGTTGTCCCCAGTGACGAAAGGAACAGATGGCAGCCTGGTAAAAAGCACATACTGTATATCAATTTATTAATTACTAAATGCAATCTGCTAGATGTTCATCACAAGATACTTCAGCTATTAAATTTCAGAGGGATTAGAAATTCAAAACAAATTATTTTAATAATAATTAACTTAGCTATATGTATTGCAAGCATGTTATTTTCTTAGCTTAAAAGCCTGAAATGATTGGGTGCCATCTGTCTAACTAACATTACATCTTTTTTAATATCAAAAGTGCATTTTCCTCAGGTACACAGATAAACTCTGAACAAAAAGAATTAAAAATTAATGTTATGGGCACAGAAGGACACTTAGAAATCTCACCCTTGTTGGCTGATTACCAGAGCACACCCTGCCTCTTCTAAGACAGTAATTTGTTTCTGAGAAGCTGGCTTGAAAAGTCATTGCCATTTGTTAGCTCTTTTACGGTGCACGTAACAAATGCTGATGTTTTTCAACACATCCTTGCAAAGGCCTAACTATATCGCAAAGTCAACATGACAGCTGTAAGCTAGCAATCTACGTTTTTATGTAAATATGACAGCCTGAAGATCATTTTTTTGCCCCAATCTACAAGTTGTGGAAGTACATTCAGCAGGTCAAATAGTGTTGCAATTTATAACTGTCAGAGATGAACACAAATTTGAGCCTGTACCTTTTCCTTCACCAGTTTTGCCTCAAACTCTAACAAAACAGTGTTTAAACAAAGTGGTTTAGTACCTAGTTTTATGACTGTATTCTTCAGAACAGAATACATAAGAGAATACAGAGAGAAGCTCACATCTTAAATGCAAATTTAATGCAAATCCCACTATCTTCAGCTGTGACCCCAGCTAAGCAACTCTTTCAGGTCGGAGTCCCCACTCTCTGACATTGCTTTCTGTAGGGGTGAAACCTAATGGTAGAATACTGAGGTTTTCGAAATTTCTCTGATTTTTGAATTAACAATCATATTCTCTTCTTCAAAGCAGCTTCAGGATATCCATTGCCACAAGTGACCAACTGTTTGGTTCATAACTGCAAGTTTTATGATGCTAATTGAAAGTTCAGACTTCTGAAATTAGCAAAATGAGTAATTTTATTACAACCTTTCATTAATATTGTGCTATCAGAGCACAGAAAATGGAAATAGTTATTCAGAATGTCAGAGGGCAACTAGACAATTGTGTCACCCTTAAAAAATTTATTACTTCACCTCATTCAGGCGTACTGAGACAATTCTTCCACTCTTAATTCTTTTCCTAAAATCTAGTATCTTCGCAACAGTAAACATGATTCGGGGAGAACTTGAACCAGTAGCTTTTTTTTGTGGTACATGACAACTTCTAAGGAAAGATAACATCTAAACAGTCTTTGAGGAAGAGGACTTCTGTGGGTTTTTTAATTGGTTCTAAATATCGTTTAAAAAAAAAAATTAATGCATTCACCATCACACAGTTTGGGAGTAGGAGGGAAAATCTGCATCAAGTCAAGTTTCAGAATCATTAATGAGCTTGTTCTGTGTTTCGATAATGAAAAAGAACAGTGTGAACCAGTAGCACAAATCTTAGCTGCACATGAGTCAAACAGCTAATTTCAGCAGTGGAGACTGTCACAGGCAGAGCTATAGCAACTGAAGAGCACAACTCAGACACTTTCTTCATGTACTTTCCTTCAAAGTTAAAAATATATCAGCAAACTAATCTGCACAGCCATTGCAAGGCTTCCTGAACAAGCAGCTGCACTTATCCATTCTGTGTGTGCAAGCATCACTGGTGCATACACAATCACACCAACTGCATGTATAAGAAACACAGCAAACACTGATTCTGTGATTATCAGCTGGAAATGTAAATCCTAGGAAGAAAACAAATCTCTAAGCTAGCATTTTGCTCACTTGCTGGCTCTCTCTCACTCTTTGCATATTTCCACTTCCATTGAAGCTTCCTTCTGCTTCCAAGCAGTAGCTGTACCTAACCTACAGGGCGCAGAGTCTCTCCAGGCAATTTGATTCCCATTTGTGCACCCTTATCGAAGAATATGATATTAAACATTCAGGCATGTGTGATTATTTTGTCTCAGCATATCCTGATTTCCCCTAAAAGAAAATGGCAAAAGCTGGGCCAGGAAGGAGTTGTACTGCAGTCAGTCCCACAGCTGGAAGGAGGGAGGCAGGACTGTGGAGTGCACCACTGAGCACTTCCACCGTGCAGGTCATCCTCTGCCTGAGATCCTATCCTTTCTTCTTGTCTGCATTCCAAACAATGTTTCTTCAATAGGTTTCATCACTCTTCTAGAAGTTTGGTTAATTCTAAATTCCCCTAACGTGGGATAGGTCTCTTAGGTTTTTAATGTTTCCTTGTAACACTTATATAGTTACTTGAATTATGGAACAAAACCAATTTCAGATACAAAAATACTGTGAGTACAAAACTATCCTTGAATTTTTGGCCAGAGCAGAGTTCAATAACCAAACCAACAGTGGATTCCATTCTTTGAAGGATTGTTTTCAGACACAGAAAATGCTAACTAACTGTTCTGCAGAAGTATTACCCAACACCCAATTTAGTGAGAAAGGTGCACAGGGACAAAAATAATTCAGTGTGTCACAAATAGCCTAGATGTATTTTAAGAAAAAAAAAGTGCCAAGTAGGATTTTCAATTTCTCATTTTTTATATTATTTCTTTAAATCTAAAATTAAGAACTAAACTCACTTGTTTTAATACTGAATAGAAGCAGGAACATTTCAGTTGGCCCAAAGGCACTCAGAAGAAACCCAAATAAATGAAGGGTTGATGCCACAAAACTGCTGGAGGACACAGTGGGTACATGGTTCCTTCTCTATCCAATACCCAGGCAATGCAGGTACTCACCTGGGGCCAGGGGAACCAGATTCAGTTCTTTCTGCCTGAAGTGAACTGAATCCACATATTCCATCTCCCAAGACAATGCACCAACCACTTCTGCAAGGTATTGAGGGACCACCAAATCTCCTAGGCTGATGCCATTCTCTTTTGCATAAATAATTCAAATTCACTGGCATGCTGAGTGCCAGCTAACAAAGGCTTTCAATAGCATGCATCCTTCCTCCCCATCTCTTTGTCCCACGCCCAATGAATATTTCAAGTGAGAACAAAAAGAACAGCAATGACAAAGAGACCCATTTGGGCCTCTGTTAAAAGGAGCTAGTGGACTTGGGTTCAGTCTCCTGCCCTAAATCAAGCAATGAGTATATTTGAACATGGACCTTTCACCTCTACAGAGAGTAGCTAACGAAACACAGCATGTTCTAGCCTACTTTTCTCCAAACTGCTCATAAAATCACCTAAAGAATCCCGACATCTGTCAGTCGGCTGCCAATCCCTTCCAAACCAACACAGTAACATTTACAAGGGACTTTAATGGGGATTTTTGGATGCAGTTGGTAAATACTGCAAAAAAAAAAATCTCAACAGCATTCAAACTTTTCTAAAACTGTTCTAAAAATAAAAGTGAAACATGGACTAAATTACTGTCATCTGTCTCCTACAAGAATTGCATAGCAGTACTGAGGCAAGAAATGCTCCGCTTACAGGGAGCAGCTGTAGTGGAAAAACAGTCTGGGTAACAAAGACAGAAGAAGAAGCAATCAGAGCTGGGGAAAGAGCAATCACAGGAAGAAGAGCATCAGAAAAAAGTCACCTGTATTGTCTGAGCAGAAGATTGTTCCTTCAGACATTATCTCAAAAGGAAGCAAAGGTGAGAATGGCCATGTGCTAGCCACAGCCCAGGAATTTACTGATAGCATCTTATTAAAGGGGAGGGAAATGCCTCCCCTTCACCTCAATACAGGAAAAAAAGGGAGTTAGCTCAAGATTTTTGAAAAGTTAACTGTTAATGTGATGCCATTGATGGTTTTCCACCAAAGGTACATTTTCATGAACAATATTATACAAGATTTATAATATTTCAAAACTCAGTCCCAACAGTATGAAATGCAACATCTTCTTAGTACAAGCAAAGACTAAAAGTAAAACAGTTTGTCTGTGTCTGTATACATCTATNAAGCCCGGACAAAGCGCGCGTGGAGCGGCGGCGCGGGGGGACCCAGAGCCGGGAAAACCCCCACAGTCATTCCTCTTTTTCTTTTCTTTCCCCCCACCCCCTTTTTCTCCCTCTAAATTTTTATTATTATTTTTGTTAATCCTTGGAAGAAGATTACTACTAGTACCAGCTGTGCTACATCCCCTCTTGGAATATACAGCTTTGAACAGAAACCTGTAAAATATTTTATATAAGCAGATATCATAATGTAGTAATTATATATTTTAGGCAACAAGTTTGATGAAGGATAAAGTAATAACTAGATGTTTTAGACACTAAGGAAATGAACGCAAGGAAAAAAAAAAGAGTGAGAAACTTATTGTGAATGGACTCTTCCAGGAGAGAAATACAGGTGAAATACAGGAACTAAATACTGCGCTGTATTGCTGGTAACAATGAAAAGTTATATAGGTCAAATCTGAAAGAACGACATTGGTTAAATGCACACTATAGCCTATTCCCATTCAAATACTGTTCTGAGATGGTCCAATAAAACTGCAACATTAAAGCTTATTGTAAGTCGTCATAATTTTTCCTTAATTCATACACCAGCTATGTACGTAAAACTGACACACATATAGTAAGAAAGGAGAGACCAAAAGTAAGTTTTAGTGGAGTTTGATACTCACCTCCTTCTCCTGACCCAGAGCCATTATCTGAAAAAGAAACAGAGGGGGAGAAAAAAAAGAGAAAGCAAATGAAAATATTGCTCCAGGAGCAGCTGTTTGTTCAGGAACTTGTCACTGTTAAACATTACACAGATGTTACATTTCATGAGCCAGCTGTAAAAACAAACATCCCACATAAAGTCTGGCATCCTTTAATACAGTTTGCCCATGCTCACTATGCCCTAGTCTCTCTCTTCCCTGTCAAGACAATTTTACTCAAGGAACAGCATCATTCAATACTGAAATTACATTGCTTTCTTAGCCTTTTTTCAACTGTTAGAGATTCAAATTTGTTAAACCTAAAAGAGATGAAGAGTACAAAGTCCGATTTTGGGAATGTTTATTTTATTTTACCCTGTGGCCCCAGGAGTGGTATTGCAAGGAGTAATGCATAAATAACCTGACTGCAGAAGTAGCTCCAGAAGAAAACTACTTCTCAAAGATGACTTAAGTCACCTAATGACAAAATAACTCCTCTCAGCTGAGACAATCACTTCGTATAAAATGCTTTAACGGCACAGTTATTTCACTGACATTTGACTGACTGGATTAGCATCTGATGAGTGACAGTTTTTGACTTGATCTCATTTGCATTAGCAGTTAAAGTGTCAGCAGGACTTGAGCTTCCTCACAACCCCAGGCCAACTAACTCTACTTCAGAGCACCATGGAGCTGGCTTGGGATTTTGTATATGCATCCCACTGGGCAGCACTCTTCATAGTCTTCAGCTAGCACAGCAGTAAAGACAAGCCCTTAAAACACACGTTCTGAGTCACAAACCTCCCTCAGCCTTTCTTGCTCAAAGGAGGAGGAGAGAGAGGATTCGATGGCAACTACTGTCAGTGAATGTTCCCCACGCCCATTAGCTTAGCTTCTCTGGAAGATGAGGAGAGGAGCAGAGCCTACACTCTGCTCATCACACACCTCTCTTTTCATGCCTGCTTTGGTGATGGAGAAAGCAGCTGAATTTATTTCCACAAACAGGAAAGAGGGAGGCCAGACAGAGAGAGGAGTGGGGAGTTCTTACTTCCACACATGAGCTTGTTGTTCACATCAGAGGAAAGACCAAACCCTCCATTTGCTCAGTTCCCTCCTCCGCTTTTCTTTAAGGAGCTATATTTCTAAGAATAATTCCCTCTAGTGAGTGGATGAAACTGTGAAATTCCACGTTACTGGGTCATTTCACACATTAAAAATAATCTCCTGTCACATGAGGTATCAGGAATAGAGATTTGTTTTTCTTTTGCCTAAATTTTCCTTTCTGTCCTCCTATACCACTATTCTGTGTCTAACAGACTGAGTTTATTACTTTATAGAAATCAACGCAAAAACCAGAAGGGTTCTTCTTCCATCAATATTGACCCACTTTACTGACAAAGAAGACAATCCCGTATGAAATGTCATTGCTGAGTCACTGAGAAATATGCCTTATGATGTGGTATTGCTTCATTAAGAAATTTGAAGGAGTGTAATTTACTTATATGAATTAAGTATATAGGCTTATTTGTAGTGGTGAAATTGCACCATAAGCTGTTTGGGGGCAGAGCAAACTGATGTACAAATATGAGCAAGTTCAACATGTAATTCATGTGAAAAACAAAGGCTAAAACATCTCAAAGAAACCCAACTTGTTCCATGTTTTTATTTCCAGCTCTAACTGACTGCTTTCCCCTGTGTGTTTAGCCCTGAGGTGAGAAATACCACTCAGCCCCAGCATGAGGGGCTCTGGTTGTAGCCCACATGCTGTGTGGCAGGGAAGGTACCATCACACAGACAGTATGGGCTGTAACAAGAGATTCATGTAAATTATAGAGCTGATGCTCAGACTACCTGTCTCTATAGATCATGAAACCCACTTGGCAGGACATCATAGAAACGGGATAGATCCTTTCCCACTTTTCAGATCACAAGAAACAAACAAACAAAAAAAGTGTCATCCCCTATAACACTGTATCAATTTTCAACTTTTCCCTGGGAGCTGTGCGAGGATTCTCATCTCCAGGGTAACCATGCTAAACTAATCTGGTGTTCCTGGTTTTTATTGAGCCTTGGCTAGATTTTTCCAAGCAGCTGCTGGTTAGAAGAGTAGCACTTTTTTCAAGCTTACTTGGACAAACAACCCTGCTCTTTTCAGGCTCTTAATGAATTCAGGATTTCCAAAAGTCATCTCCATGTACCCAAGATCTATCAAGAAAGATGCTCAAGTAAGTGAAGATGCTGAACACAAACAGCATTCCTACAGCCACTGGTCAGTAATTAGAGAAGGAGTGACTGACCTCCACCTTTACTTGAGCCACCCTTTTCCAAGTAGACTTATAAAAACTGAGATCAGCCCTGCCAAGAAGGACTTGGGGGGTGCTGACCTAATTGTGGCCTTTCAGTACCTGAAGAGAGCCTACAAGAAAGGTAGAAAAGGTCTTTTCACAAGGACATGTAGTGAGAGAATAAGGGGAAATGCATTCAAACTAAAAAAAGAATGTTTAGATTAGATAGTAGGAAAAGACTCTTTACTGTGAGGGTGGTGAGGCACTGAAACAAATTGTTTTTGAAACAGTTGTGGATGTCCCATGCTTGGAAGTGTTAAAAGCCAAGCTGGATGGAGGTCTGAGCAACCTGGTCTAGTGAAAGGTGTCCCTACCCATGGCAGGGGGTTTGAAACTAGATGATCTTTAAGGTCCCTTTCAAACCAAACCAGATTCTATGATTCCATAATTCTATAAAAATATGCTTATACACAAATGTGTAGGCTTCTGTTGCAAGCTGTTTTTATCCATGAAGGAGTTTCTGGATAAAATACAAATAAGCACTTGGATCAGGCACAGCATCTGAATGCTGTAAGCACTAGGCTACAGTCAGAATCCCCTCTTTTCTTTTTTTTTTTTTTTCTGAATAGGAGCCATTTCTGTACTGTAGGTCTGCTTTGGTGCAGAGGCAGAAAAAACTACCCAAACCCAAAAGAGCCTGCAGCCTCTCTCATTCAGGAGAGCGGCTTTCAACTCAAAGTAGTATGAAAATTGAATCCATTGAGGGCAACAGCTCCAAATTGTTAACAAACAGGAGGGCAAAGAGTCCACTGACAAATTTTAAGTAAGCACACCCTTCCATGAGCCACTCCTAAGAGAATAAATTCTTCAGTCTAACGGAAATGAAGTGTTTGTTTCTAGTTCTGCAAACAGCTTTCCCCCCCCTTATTTTTTTTTAAACTTAGAGATCCCAACACAAAGCAATGGACTGTGGGTTCCAAATATATACAGTACACTGAGAATCTATTAGTACAATCAAGTACTACATCATTGTGTGGTTACATTTTCATGTGCATATAATATAAATCTGGCAGCAGTCAAAATCAATATCAGGACCTGTATATGCAGTCCCGACATTTCAGACATACATTCTCTTTCATTTCTCTAAACCACCATTTTTAACGTCAAAACTTGCATTTTGTTTATTCCTAAAGCACCTATAATTGACTCTTTTTCAGAACATTGCTTATTTTAGAATCTCAGAAACTCTGACAGCCCTCAGATAAAGGAAATAAATATATAAATATGCTGCTAAATCACCCATGTCCGTAAAAATTTAATCAAAACATTACCTGACAAGAAATAGAATAATGATTTAGTGACTAAATCACTCAGTATAGTCTGTTCCAGTGCTGTAGCTTCAGAATGTATCAATCCTTAGCAAATGGGAAGTATGAGATTCAGAAGTATGATGCACTTTAAATATTAAATAGTTGCTACAACACTAAGGGGGAATTTCATCCTATTGTCTGGGGTGCATCCCTCCAGAATGAAACCTTGCTTTGAAAAAACAACTCTGACAGGAAACCACTGGCTCTCAATGATGTCCTAGAACAAAGCATTTTCATAGCAAATTCAAAGGCACACAGTGAAAATTAATGGGGGTCTATAAAAGATTTTTTAATTTGGGTATTTGCTTCTCCATAATACGTGTAATAGATCAAAAGCACAAATATATTGCCATCTTGGTGATCTACAATCCAACGCAGGGCATGGAGAGGTTCCAGATGATGGCTTTTATCATCCAATATTCTCACACCACCCGAACTGCATCAGGCACTTGGGAAGCAGCAAGTACCATTCTAGCAGAGCTCTGCTGAAGCACTTAAAATTGCACCAGTGCAAATGCAGTATGCAGCCTGAATCACATCTTCAGTTTCAGATATGTGTTCTCAGGACTTTCTGGACAGTTGTGTTTCAGCACGTTTCTTGATCTGTTACACTAAGCGCTAGAAATTTGGCTGTGTTTCCCGAGTTTTATGTAGGACTTAAAGAAAAGGAGAGGAAGGTAAAAAAAAATTCCCATAGTATCTGAGTAAGTTAGTAATTAGGTGCCAGCAAGCTAAGGCTGAGAAGAATCAACTTTTCAACTTTTGAAATTTCTTTCTCTTAGTAGAGTAGAATGCATATAAAAACAAACACTTCTTGTTGTTCCCAAACATTACCCTAGAATTTTTTTTTGTGAGAGAAAGAAACTTTCATGCTGTGTATCTGTATCTTAAAATAATTTGGACATGAAATTAAAAAACACTATTTACTTATACATCCTTAGTTCAAACCTTCTTGGATGTTGTTATAGGAATGTGTGAGTGCTCTAAAACTGTATTGCACTTTTTTCCTACTTCTGAAGCATCTGGTGATAATTTACAGGTGAGAGACTAGGAAAGAAGGTACATTCAGTCATCTGCCTGAGGAATGCTGGAATTATGCTTCTGTGCTGGGCATAAAACACAGGTTTCCTTCAGTACTAGGACCAACAACAGAGATTGTTTTGGGCCTTAGTAAACAAGAGCCAAACCTCAGTATGGGTCTGTGCAAAGGCATTAGAGCAGCTGGTGTGAAACACAGCCTATCTGCATTTAAATGAAGTAGCTGTGGGACTGGCAGCAGCAAGGACTTGGCCTAGGTACACTGCCCATGCATTTACCCTAATTTCCAGATAATATGCTGCAGCTACTAGTGAATTCCAGCCTGATACCTCTAAACTGTCATTGATAATTAACCAACATAAAGCTAGCAAGGAGTGCGCATCTGACCCATTGTCATGCTTTTGGCTGCTGTATAGACAGAACTTTGTTTAGGTTAATCCGAGTAAGCAGTGTGTATCCAAAGACGAGGGATGTCCTAAAACTTAATTTTTTGTGTGTGTTATTTATGCACCAAAGAATGCAGCTGTTGATGCTACCGAGTCATTTAATCTCATTGAGAGAAAGCCAGCCATGTGTGTGGTATCAACAGCTTTGAATCTGTCCAGAGGTTCAGAAGACCTCTGGTGGCTAAAGTTTCTGTGCCCAGGAGCGTGTTGTAATAATCAAGACAGTGAAAATCTGTCCTGTGTATTTTAAACGTGTGGAAAATCTATGCTTTATGTGCGTAGAAAGACAAAAAAGGCCAGTCCATTAGAAATATGAGGTAGCATAATTTTGTAAGTTATGCATATTTTCAATGACCCAAAGTCAAAGATGATGCCTTGGATACAGGTAGAGTGGCAGTCAGGATGATCAGTGTCACTTGTTGGATGTCACATTAATTCTGTATATCCAAAAAAAATAAAAGTCCTTAAGAAATTACTAATTTGAAGTCTGCTCCAAACTTGTTGAAAGCCTTTTGATGAATATCAAGACTCCTTTATAAACACCACAGAAGCATTCACAATCTATTTTCCCAGATAAAGTATTTCAACTTTTAATGTTTATTTATTAACCTGTTAGCATATCAGAAGATGTATCAGATTTCTTCTCCATAAAAATATTCCATTGCTAAAGAGGACATGGGGTTTCCACACTATTGCATTCTATGAAAAGCATAAAAATTATAATTGCTGGAATTAAGGGCAAAACTAAAGAGCTAACCATAAACCACCATTCATTAGCGACACAAAGTGATGTTTTACATACCAGAATAACAGGGTCCTCTTGATACCACTGTTATCTCTTTCTGATGCTTGCAAGCAGCTCTCCTGAGGAAGCATTCATTTTGGTAAGTGTCTCCATTTGATCCACAAACTGGAATATAGTTTGTGTGACACTGAAAAAGAAATTATAAAGTAACTCAGTCATACCAAAATCATATGATTAGTCTCAACTGCATATTAATATACAGGAAGATAGTTGTGTTACTAGCACTAACTTATAACCCTTTTCACTAAAGGAAGATATGAAATATATTAGTTTTACAGTATCACTCTATGTATTCCTCTTGGATCACTGAAATAATAGTCCAGCTCCATATGGACTGAACATAGGAATTCAGTAGGAAAGATTAAAAGAACAAAATAACTATAGTGGGATTTTGTAATGGCTAGAGGGAATATGTCAAGCATCTAGAATTATTTGAAGGATAAACACTGAGGAAAGAGAAAACTTCTTCAAGATAATACAAGAAAGTATGACTAGGCACAGGGGGATGAAACTGAACAGAGGAAAATTTAAAAAGAACAGTGCTTAAGGGCAGATTTGCTGACCTTTTTGGTCAGAACAGTTTTACAAAGAAGGTGGAAAATAATCTTACAAAGGAGGTGGAAAACAATCACCATTCCCATTAAACTCATGAACATCATGGGTCTTTTACTTGGTCAACAACTATAATAACGCTTTTGTATTACTATGCTGAAAAATTTTAAGCTCAAAGTTAGTAGTATTTTATACATTTAATAAAAAGTAAGGTAGAAAGGAAAAATTATCATTCCGAATAGCTTTTGCAGAAGCTGCCTGTATTTTGCCATTTTCTTTCATTCTAAGAAAGATGTATTAGAAACCCCTTGTACGTATACTGTGCATTAAAATGCTGGGACCACCAATCTGCCTAACATCTGAGACTGCTGCATAGTTTCCTGCTGAACCGGAGATCTGAACTCTGCTCCACTGTGTGGAAAAGGAGACATTGTTTGGGCGTGCAGTGGTAACTGTGATGTCAGACACGCTTTGCATCTTCAAAACCCCAACGCAAAAAGAATCCAACCAAAACCAAAAAAAAGCACTGATCAAATACACAGAGTATCCACCACGTTTCTTAACCATATATGGTTACCATTTATGAGTAAACTGGTATAGTTCAACCAGTCAAAGTGCATGCAGAAATAGCAACATTTCTTAAGCTATACTGCCCCAAAAGGACAAGAGTTTCTCCTCCAAATTCCAAATGAGAGTCTCCCCCACAACAGTTCCTTTGTGCTTTGACGCACACAAAGGTCAAAATATTCAATTTTTAAAACATAATTTTGAAGGGTATTACCCTCCAATCCTTTGTCATCCTGCCATAGATGACCAACTGAGAATGAACTAAGCAGGTATGGACAGAAATAAATCATGCTGCCAGCTCTGAAAGTTATTTCTAACAGTTTTGTAATACTTTCCCATAGTGAGTAGCTCTCAGATATCCAACCACAGAGCTTGTAACATCTCATACTGAACAGTCATTTCTAGGGAACAGTTAACAGGTGACTCCCAAGGGAGACAATACTATCCAATACAATTCTCTGTTCAATCTTAAAGTAGCTGCATGATGTTTTGAAGTTACAGGTTTCTGTCCTGAGGATAGAAAATGAAAGACAAAGTGATTCCTTTTTACAATTTGGTAAATCTGTAGCAATTTGGTACTATACGGCCAAGAGTTCTCATGCAAATGTCCTTTAGATTAGAGTTCTTTTCTTGTGAGGAAATCCTCTAATACCTCAAATGATCAAAAGGGAGAGAATCTTTTCATGGACAGGATGTGCTTTGTACAATGGGCCATGGGAAAATCCATCCAGGCTCCACCCAATGCTGTGAGATTGCTCAGGTCACAGCATCTGCATGGGTTGTAAGGTTTCCTCACTATTTATATTCCTTTTCCTATTCTGTCTTATCAAAGTGGTGATGTTATAAAACTGTTTGTTGTCAAGTCTTTCTTACTGAGATTGAAAAAGAATCCCATGTCTCTCTCACCTCACCTCCCCCACCAGTTCATAACACACTCACTAGGTGTTGATCAGTTTTTCTTTCAGGTTTTGTAAAACTCATCCAAAATATGGCAAAAGACCTTCCCAGAAGTTTGGTGAACACGTGATAATTCCCCTTTATTTACAGTGGGGGAAGATAACAGTATCTTGCTTTCTGACTTGGCAAAAATGAGAAAGCCTACAATATTTTCAGAGAGGTTGCAGCCTGCAGAGCTCTTGCTGCCACGACATTATAGCTGTTTCAACGACAACACTGAAATTTGCCGGCCAGTCATTACCAAACGGGTTCCTAGGAGTTAAAAATATGACTTCTTGAAGTTTCAGAAGACTAAACAGTTCAGAAATGCTGCAAGGCCAGGAACGCTGGCAGATAAAGAGGAAGGAGTGGTAATGCCTGGAAAGCAACCAAAACCTGCATGCATTTTCCTCAATCTGAGGGAAGTTTGTTCCAGCCCTGGCTCTAGTTCAGGGACGGCTGTGCATAGCTGTGCCCTTCTGCTCCCCAAGACGCACCTCTGTTGGGCAACCAGGGCTGCGACCTCACATCTGGTGGCATTTCCCCTCCATCAGAACACCCTCACCTGACCAGAACCCAGACTCCCGACCAACATAATTATACAATTGCATTTTTCTAAAAACTGCAGTTTTAAGAGCATAAGTAATGCCTTGCTGTATCAGACCAGTGGCACATTTATCCACATGCAGTGGATGTGATATTCCAGCTGTGAGGAATAGGAAATGCAGGAAGTTCTTCTTCAGGAAGAACAGGCTGACATTCCCACCTCTTCCTTTCAGTGACTCTTCAGCTGAACAACTGTACACCAATGAATCTATTTCCTTTTCAAAACCTTGCAAGGTCAGGAAAAAAACAGCTACCTCTCAGATAGTCTTGCGTGTGAAGAACCTAACAGTTTGGGCTGAATGTTTGCTGCCTGGGATATTTTGGTGCTGCTAATCATGGCGAGGCTTCGCGAACGAAGATTTGGGAGGTGCTGCTAATAATTGTAAGACAAATAATTAAGGTTGAGAGTTACACGAAGATTTCAAACTGCCGTGTCTGAAAAACAGAATACCTTCTCCTCATCCTTAGACTTCTTTCCTTAGAGTATGGGATAATTTTTTCAAGAAGTACAAGAAAACTTGCAAGTAGCTTAAAAACAATACTGGTTTTGAAAATGGGCTTTTCAAGACATAGTATCAGCTTATCACACTGGCTAGTTCTTTTTTTAAATCTTCATGACCTGGATATTAGGAAGCCACAAGATTTACTGCCTACAGAAAATAAATTAAACCTTTGCTTAGCCTAGGGTTGCATTTCTTTTCCTTTTTTTTTTTTCTTAATCACTGCTGAGCTTTGATTTTAGTATTTTTTGTAAATAAGTTAGGCAGAGTGAAGGCTGATGAGAAAACCTATTCTCCTAAGAATTTTTTCTTTCTTTAAAGGACAGTTGGATCCCATTGTTCTTATGGAACAATGCCCCCAGCACAGGTGAACAGCACCACATCAAAAGCCAGCTCTGAAACACTGGAACCCCAAAACAGCACAAGATCACATACACATTGTTGCTATTCTGGTTCTCCTTGATTTATTATTTATTGGAAACAGAACACACAATTATTTTTAAAACACTGAAAGACGGTCCATGCCAGGGTTAGCTGATAACAGTGCCAGCTCTTCCAGTTTTACTTTAAGTCTCATACATAATATTTGATACATTTGTCCTGGCTATAAAGTGTAAAGCGAAAGAATTGCTTTGTTGTTTCTTCCCTAAAAAAAAGTTGGGGACAGTAAGGAAGGACGGAAGGAAGGAAGGACTGCCATGATAGTTATAAAAACCGTAAACTAAAGGCTAAGAAACTGACAAAGCAAATAGAACTTTTATTTATTACTTTTTAAAAGTTCAGAAGACATTTTTATCAAAGTTCAATACTTCTTTTTCATTGAGTGGGACTAACTCACTGTTCTAATTCATAAATTTTATGATCACTGGTGATCTTGTTATTATTTGATTTTCTAAATGCCTTTAGATCTTTCAGGGTCTTATGTGCCACATTTAGCCACCAGCAGAATACAGAAGAATACTCCAAATACTGGGTATTAGAGAAACAATTCGTCATAATACGGCATTTAACTTATAAAGCTTCATCTGATGTGTGTGACAACTGTGGGGTGCCCTGCTCCAAGCCACCTCCCTTACCACCTCAGGTCTTGGGGCAGGATGAGTCAAGGTGGGAGGCAGGGAGCGAGTGACACCTGGCACTCCCCACCTCTGCTCATGTTGGTTGCGGGGCCATGGGTGCCTGGCAGGTGATGGCTCTCTATTCGTTCCCACCTTGGTTTCTGCCACTGGCTGACTCACCAAAACTGCGTGGGGAACTAATATGAAGGAAGCTACACTCTCCACTTGCTCCCTGAGCACACCCTGGTGAAATACAGCCACAAGCCATCCCAGTCAGTGCCACTGAAAAAGGAGCTTACAGTTAGACTCATAAGCCTGTTGCTGAGGGAAATGTTTAAAGCAGTCATTCTACAAATACTTCAATATGCCTCAAAGATTTGTCAGAAATGGCAAAACAAAAAGGTGAGCGGCCCTTACCTGGAACTGACACGCACATTTCACACCATCGCCCTCTTCCTTGCACACTCCTCCATATTTACAGGATGATTCATCACACACTCTTATGTCGGATTCCCTTACATTTAACTCTGCAAAAAAATTAGAAAAAGGAGACAGAAAAGAAATTGTAAGATGAGGGATTCTGAGGACTGCCTTGTCCTTAAGTCTTCTGAGCCCCAACAGAAATTAAAGGGAAAAAGCCAGAGCTGTTCCCTGGGCTGCCCTGAAACAGCTCTGTGCTGCCCCTGGGTTCCTCCCCAGGGGCAGGTCCTGCTCCCCAGTGGCAGCTTTGTCTGGTTAGCACAGTGGCTGTGGCTAAATGCTGTTTACCAATCAAACAGATACAGAGCAAGCATGTGCTTATACTGCCCAAATTCCCTTCCACGTCTCCCGTGACAGGGATGCCCCAGTACAAAACCCTCTCCACAGAGTCTAACAGGAGTCTTTACACAAGTTATAGCCCATGTTTCTCAACCACTACTTCTTTTTGCTTTACTCTCCACAAAGGTCCTGAAGAAGAAAAGTTAAACCATCAGAATTTCTCTGCCCGGCTTTCCAGTCTCTGCAAGAGCCACACTGTTATCCTTCAGACTAAAAATAAACCAAAGTGTGTTTAAACTATTATAATTTGCTTGCACTGTAGGAGCCAGAGTAATGAACCAGAGATCTGTGTCTTAGCTGCTGCATAAAAATGTGGAGCACAAATGCAGCTCCCGTCTCCATAACCTTGCAGCAGAGGCACAGCTGGTAAGAGGGAAACCAAGGGGCTATACATACCAACTGCACAGGCTCAAGCTCCAGTCTAAAGGCTGCCTAAATGGCTTCAAGCTTTTCTGGGCATCACAGACCAAGGCTAGATTTAAAGCAGAACAAATATATTCTTTTAAAATAAGTATTTGATTTTAGCTATATATAGAAGAGAGAGCAAAAGAAGGTACCAGTAGGATAATGGAAGTGGTCAGTGTTATCCTAAATGTGACCTCGTCAGGCTGTGTGGGAATAGTGCTGGTACTATCAGTTCCAATGAAAAGATGAAAATTACACCAAGGGCTCTAGAAAAAAACCCTGCTACTGTTAAATGTGCAGTGATATCCGAGGATATCATTCAAAGATGTCTGTGCTACAGCTCAAATCAGAAACCTTCAAGACTCTATAGCAAGTATGATCCACTAAAGAGATTGACAATGGCATGATTTAAAATAATGCCTGTGACTTTTAATAAGCAAGCCCTATCCAGAAAACTGGCTTAAAGAAAGAACTGAACACCAGCTATTCAGAAATGGGGAAAGGTAGGTCAAAAGCAGAAGAAAATAATCCTCGCTGCCACTTAAGAGTCTTAAACTGGCAATCACCCTCCTCCTCAGAGCAGTGTCAGCACTTTGGTATGACAGTGACAGACACCCTGGAAAACTACTCCTATGTCTTTATGTAACATTATACACCCACACATATAGTCTATATAAATACATAAACAAACAATAATTACTGTAATAAATTTTACCATATGTCACATGCTTCTATATTTAATATAGCCTTATTATGTATTTTCTTCATAGCACTGAAGTTACAGGATTACAGCTCAATGCAAAGTCCAGTTATAATCCACATATTTTTTTTCAACTGTGAGAATAAACTGAAAAACATATCAATTCTTTTTTCCCTATAGGTCCATCATTCCTGAAGGCATAAATGAGGAGAGCAATGTGTGTAACACTGGGCAGATAGGTAACCTGGTTGCCATCACAACCCTGTGTGTGTGATCTCTAATGTTATTCTTAATGTCACCGTTTATCAAGCATGACTGCTGCGTTGTAGGCACCAAGCTAATGTGATAGAACATCGCAGCTTTTCAATTTAATGTGTTCATAACTCGCTCCTGAAGGAAATGTGCCTTTCTTTCTCCTCGTGAAGATCTGTTCCACAAAGATGAACAAACTAGCAAAATTAATTAAGGGGAAACGATTGTCATATCTGAAAGGGTCCACCTTTAGGTGATATCACATTTAAGAAAATACCACTATAAAAAGGAGTAACCATACAGACAAATTAGAGCATGAACAGCTTTCACAATTCTGTTTTTATCAGGTCAGGAAAATAATGAGATGCTGATCCCCCTTTCTCAACTCTCAGTGGAGATCACTGGACTCAGTGCTTTGCAACATCCTACCCAGTATCCCCAATCAGCAGAAGAAACCCTTTGGCAACTCAGCTCCTGCTTGAATTCCTGAGGGTCTACAGAATGTCCAACTGCCTAAGCAATGTAGTGCAGACTTTTCCTCAGTATCAGTGTCCCCTGGTGTGGAGAGGGCACACAAACACCCAGGAAGGAGCCTCTTCACCACAGTGGTGGGAAAGGGACCTCACTTTTCTGCAAAGCAGGGGAAAGATGTAGTGGGGTCAGAAGGAGACCCCAGCTAGCAGTTCAGCATCAAGGCTGAACCAGAGATGAACTTGATCCTAACTTAGCTACTTCTATGACTTCAAAAGCCAATGAGAAAGGTAAAGATTTCAGAACAAAACTATAAGAGAGGATGTGAAAATGGGGGTGGAGAATAAGCCTTTGTGAACCTCTCTCACCCCAAGAAACCAAGGCTTTTGGTTTGTTTTTTTTTTTTAAATTTCACAGGAGGAATTAAGATGACAGAAAGCACGGTGTTTTAATGGTTACTTCATTTTAGGAGCGGATTGTTTTTCTTTCCACATAAATCACAAATACTGATTAAAAGCTTTATGGAATGAAATGAATGCCGTTTAGGAAAGGTCATACAGAGACCAGGAGCAAGCATGATTTTCCAAAGTTGTACAAAAGACAAGATACCCTGGTGACTGGCACTTGAACATGACAGATGAACTTTATTCTATGGCAGGATGTCACCTAATCCCTTATTCTATTCAATGGAAAACTCCAGTACCAGCAAAATCAAGCCTCCAACATGTGCACAATTGCATCTGATGAAATCACAAGCACTGGGAAGTGTGGTGGCCATAATGACTTCCACATACAAAAATGAACAGATGTGGATGGATGCTAATAGAGTAAGGAGGAACTGTAGATGTCTCGCATGTCTGAAATATGCTCTCTTTTCAGTGGATTCCCCACAGACAGAGAACTAAAGCGGAGTTTCTGAAATTATTTCCAGAAGAATGGAATCATTATCATCGTATGTGAGAACAAATCTATGAGAGGAGAAAGAACATGTAGCAAATGGTTTAGGGTAATTTCTTACATGTTTCTTTAATGCCTATCACAACTAATTTCCTAGACTTTTAGCAGATATAAATAAGAGAAAGTCTCAGTGTGATTCATTATGCACAGTGAGAATATGGTAGGTAGTAACCCATCAATTCCCAAGGGAAAATATAATTAGCGCAATTAAATCAGGCTTCCAAATTTATGATAAAATTAATGTCCAAAGACCTGAAATGAAGTATTAAAAATGATTTGCTAATATCTGTTCAGCCAATACACTTCCTGGTCGTGCAATGACTGAACGGCACAAATCAGCCTGCAAAGATCCACAGCAAGGTCTTTTAGGTTTGGGGTTTTTTCTCTTTTGAATAGAATTCATCCTATGATAATTTGATACATCATTAAAAATGAGGAAGGCTTCTCTATTTTGACTCCTTTCAGAGAATTTGAAATACAGCTCAATACAAGTAGCTGAAGACTGGCTTTTTCCCTGTGACCTCAAAGTGCATTACTCTGAGGCTCTTGTTATAAGCTAAATTACATGTGTCAAAATCATGAACCTGAAGATGAAATCAAATTTGTAGCTTTAAGTATATCAAACATGTTGCTTCCATCTGGATACCTCGAGAATAAAGTAAAATCTAAGATGGGCATATGTGTTAACTTTGTTTTTCAAAACTCATGTTTCTCCTGTAGTTGGCAATAGTACACAGTAATGATGAATGGATATAAGGAACCAATAAATACCTTTCCCACATGAAAGTGAGCATGTGAGTTTAGTAAGAGTGATCCCAGCTTTGTCCCTTTTGAATATTGCAGCTGTGCCTGAGAAAAAAATCTGCATGCCTGCCTGCCTGTCTGTTCTCTCTTGTTATGGGTAAGACTCCAACCAGGAGACGTGCCAGGACCCCTCATGCCTTTTGCACTTGACTTATGGGTTTGGTAAAAGAGGGAACGCATTAGAGGGAAAAGGTGAGGCATCTCACTGCTGCTTTCCCATCCTCCAAACAGTTTGTTCTTTGTGAAGCCAAGTTTTAAACTAGGATGTCTGACCTCTCATAGATGTCATGTACAGACATATGCACACATCCAGACCTGAGCGAGTTCATAAAGGGTCTACAACTATTGGTTAAAAGAACACCCAAAATTGTAAGAACCGTTGAGTCGAGTCAAAAGTGGCTTGGGAAAGGGCTCAGGAAAAATTATGTTGCAAAGGATATATTAGAGCCCACAGTCTACTGGAGCTAGTGGTGTTATGACTGGATGAGCTCTCAGGACCACAGAAGAGAGTCAGAGAATCAAAATCTGATGAGCAGAAAACCTAAAATCTACTCAGTTTTGGGAGTCAATCTGGTTTGGCTTTGGCAAATCATTGGCTTTTTTTGGTTTTAGCAAATCGTTCTGGTTTTGACAAATTATTTATAAATGAATGGAAAACCAAATGGGAAAAAAAAAACCAAGAAAATCTTTCCCTTAAGGATTATAAAGCTGAGGTGCTCACAAGTACAGTAATAACCTGAGTCTTAAATCTAACTGTTGAATAAAGCTTCACCTGCTAGTCACACTCTCTGCCCCACAACAGAGATGATAGCCAGAGCCAGGCCTTTGCCCCTGTGGTTCCCAAGCTCAGCCTGCCCATTTCAATCATGAAGGTGAGTTCAAGTGGCATCACAAGTAAAGAAAGTCACTGCAAAACAGGTTCTCCAGGGGAGTATTTTGGATACCTCTGCTCATCTCCAGTTGCCAGCCGAGACCAAAACAGCACAATTCTCCTGTAAATCCTACCAATCCCGTGCAGACATACAAGCATCCCAGCTGGTAGTGGCTTCAGTCACTTTAGATTTCCATCACCTAAATAAAGTAACTTTGACATTGATTCAGACACTTAGTTCACATGCA